AGCTTTTGCCAAAGGTAAAGAAAAGGTCGTAGAGGGTGAAGGTTTTGATGCTGCAGATCAGCAAGAGGAAGAGGTTAAGTCAGATGAAGAGGAGGAGATTGAGATAAAAGAAGACACTGAAGCAGGGTCCGATGAAGGTTCAGAGGATGATGAAACTGAGGATAGTGAAAAGTCTGCGTAGGCTCGATGGCTGGATATTTGAATCGCTTATGTTTTGTTATAACTAAACTATTTGGGATGTTTTGTGTTGGTGTGAACTCCAATTTATGCTTCTTACTGAAAAATTTCTTAAGCAGGATAGAGCTCTAGGTACCATGAGCTTAATTACAGATATCAGAGTTAGATCAATATAACGCCCCATATTGATTTAACGAAAAATCCGCGGCCTTTTAGAAAAATCAATTTAATTTTTGAAACTCAATTCCAAATAATTATGGCGTTACTCATTCAAAAATCCTGGTCAACCTCATAAATACCAATCACCACAATAATATCATAACATCATCAACTCCCATAAAAGGGTTCATCCCTGTAACACCCCGCTTATCAGAGTAACTTTTTCGCAACTTTTACTTCAAAAATACTTATAAATCTTTCGAAATCTTTTGCGACTAACTCGGGATGCTACTCAAACTCATCTTCTCTTAAAATCTGTTTATCTTTAAACTTTTGTCTAATACTTTTTTAGACATAAAGAAAACAGATTTATTTAAACTTTGCATTTAAATGTACCATATTCATACTTCTGAATGGTAAAAACTTAAAACCTTAAATTTATTAAAATGCAAATTCAAGTCTTAATGTGCATAGCGGAAATACTTGAAAACGTGATTAATTATACAGACTGTTTTAAATGTCCATATAAAAACTTGTCATAATCTGAATCCACGATCCACACCAGCACTGCTCCACTCACACCTCCTCTTCGACCTGTTACCTAAAAATAAACTTATGGGGATGAGTACTGAATAAAGATAATCATAAACCGATATATAATCGGTAACCAGAAATCAGTTCTGGTAATGAAACTTAAACTTTTCTCTTCTCTTCCGATATCTTGATGGGATACGTGTGCACACTCTGATGGATATTTCTTAGGCAACTTGGGGCCTCCATCAGAACTTAGGATATAGTCTGGGACAACTGAATGCCTTTTCATCCCAAGCGTATAAATTAGAACTCAGGATATACTCTGAGACAACTGAATGCCTTCTCATCCTATATGACATCAATATCGTACTCAATGTGATACCCACTCCGGGTCCCCACCTTTCTTCTTTGAAAGCATTTGAAAAACGATAAGTGTTGTACTGGGTAATTGTATCTGCAAGTTACATAAAATATAAACAAATATACTAAGTACTATGCTCGTATACTCAATAAGATACTAGGATTCTTAACTTATCCAAATCTTATAGAAATTTAATAGACATGCTATTGCTCAAGTTAATACTTGACTTAACTTTTTCTTGAACTTTTACGCAAGGTCTATTATGAATCATGTCTTCAAAATCATAGATATTGGCTTATACTTGCATGTCACTTAAATAACTCGAGTGTGAAAATAACTAAATTTCACATTGTACTTGATTGAGTATTTAAACTCAAAACATGCTTAACTTTTACCAACATCATATTCATGATTTATAAATAATGAACTCATCTTAACTTGTATGGTACTAAATATTTCAACTTAATACTCATACAATACAACTTTTAATCATAATACTAAATTATGATCTTAATATGTGAGATTTGAAACAATCTTTATAAAAATTGTAAACTCAACATATTAAAAAAAAACTTTTTCAAATTGTTCATCACTCATATGAGAATTATTCATAAAAATCTCACTTTAACAATTTGATCATATAATGAATATTCTGGCATATATACTCATCTTTACATATATGCCATCTTATTATCTTAACTCCTTCATTTCTCATCTTTAAATTATGAAATTTAACATTCATATTCTTAACTCATAACTAGATATGTCATAAAATATTCATAATTTTATCGTACATATATCTCGACTTATTCAAGTTTAAAGTTGATGCTGGAAACAAGTACATAAAATTCTGCTTGCATGATAAACTTTAAAAATTCATATCTTGAGTTATACTAAACTAAATGACTTGATTCTTGATCCTATGTACTCCTATTTTACACAAGAAATAACCATAGGAAGCATATATATCCAGATTTTTTATAGCTAGGTAAAAATATCATCATAACTGAACACATATGACATATATATGAGCTGGAAATAACTTATCTTCTGGCATGCTTATACTCATATAAAACTTTAATATCTAAGTTATATAAACACATTATTAAACACTTAATATAATCTACTAAACATGTTAAAAAGGTAGCATCTTACCTCCTTCTTGCTTGAAAATCTAAAGTTGCTCCTTGATTTCTTCGAAAATTAAAACTCTACTATTTTTATTTTTATTTTTCTCTCTTTCTATCTTTTTGATGAAACTATGATGATTTGAGAAGATACTTGATAATAAAATCTGATTGAAATGCCTCTATTTATAGCCATGAATGAGCTTTTGATAGATAAAACTTAGTCCACCAAAGTGTAATAAAATTCTCACCAATTGTTGAAAAAAAATGCTAACTAAAAGACTTAGCAAAACTTTGTTGTGATTTTCTCATCTCATCCTCACCAATTGATGACCAAAATTTCGTGCTTAATCTGATGGAATGGATTCCATTATTGAAAAAATGTCCCCATTCATCATATAAAAATCATTAGAAAAAAAATAATAAAAATAATAAAAATCATCCTTTTTATTTCTTATGCATTTTCTTTCAAAATGGCTGACTCTTAAAAATCTTTTTATGAAAATTAATGCTCATATATGGTCTTAGAACATGCTAAGAAAAAACAAGAATAATAAAATTTACGGAACTCAATTCGGAGTTAAAACGAACATTTACCATAAAACTGAAAATTCTAAAATTTAAATCTTTTACTCCTGGTTTTTCCTTCAATTTACTGAACATATTGCTTTTTAGAAGCTAATATAATGATTTTGAAATATTCTAACATTTACGGAACCACATTCAGACTTAAACCGAACGATTTCCATAAAAACCAAAAATTCTACAAATTTCGATTTCTCTTAAAATAATTTAAATAGACTATAATATCTAAATAAATTTTCTCACTTCTTTGAACATTTATAACTTAAATGTTCATGGATACTTAACCTTACTTCAAGACTTAACTTGTCTCAAATTGTGCTAAGGCTCGATACTATAATCTTATCTTGATGACTTGAACACTTATGAAAAATTCAAAGTATTTAGTACTCAGGCTCGACTATTACTTAATTAAGACTCAACTCATGACCGAACATACTTGGGTTCAGTTCACTACTTATCTTAAACGATTAATCAAAATATACTCAATTTCGGTTATTCGTCATCTTATATTAATTAATCCCGTCTTATAAATCCATTTATAAAAATAAACAGACCGAAATTAATTAATTACTGAACTGGCTCGATTACTTAATAAAATTGAACCGAGAATACTTTCGACTTAAAGTCGAATTTTTAACTGAATAACTTAATAACTGGCTCGGAATTAGGAAGGAGCTTTATTAATAAAAGTAATTAGTTCAAACTTAGAATAATTACTTTTATTAACTACTGAATGGGATATTATAATCCCAAATCATCCATCACCCAAACCTAGTTTTCAAAATCATCACAGTATCCACGGGGCATCTCCCCAACATTATTCTCATTAATCATAAATTCTCAGAGTTTCATAAGGCCCAAGTCATAAAATAACAACATCAATAATCAGTTCATAAATAACGGAAGCAACAAATAATAATCCGGTCATAAATACCGACCACCACTCGCTCCTTCCCGTCGTCATGTCTGCCCTGCTCAACCTGAAATGTTAATTTCAGGTGGGAGTGAGCACATATGGAAAACGTTGTGCTCACCACTATGCAATAAATGATGATCATAATATAAAATAGTACATCATGTATACAAATCATTATCTATCTCATCTCCCACCAATAATATCAATAATCAAGACTCATGAGCACACCTACGCATAAACTACTGTTGACTATATATCGAAAGCCACGGCCCTAGCCTTCTGGTCTTACAACGAGTGTCCAGCCAGTATGAGTAAAACCACCGTCAGCCGAGCACTACCCTGGTCTCACAACAGGGTACATATCGTCGACCGAGCACAGCCCTAGTCTCATGCCTCCGACCGAGCACTGCCCTAGTCTTACAGGCGTAAAAAGGAGATTACCCCACGGGTACGATATATAGCTATGGGGATAACCCTTCGACAGCCGGTATAGCTCACATCGAAGGCTACATGGTTCACATGCATACATTGATCATACCACACATAAGGCAACGATTTACTGCCTAGCAATTTCAAATAAAACTCACCTGTTCGGAATTGACAAATATTAAAATGCTCACGGTAGATTCGAATGGTCGACGCCTCGAAACCTAAAATTTAAGCGAGATATTTTACATAAATAAATTATCTCATTACTCGGGAAATTTATCTAATTTATCCCTAAAGATCCAAACGTACGATTTAAAAGAGGGTTTGGAGATTTACAGCACTTCGAGAATTTACAAGCAAGGAGGCACTGATCGGATTTTTTACGGTCGAAGCTCCTTTCGATGTCCATTACAAAACCTTTTAATTTCAGCCCACCCATTTATTTGGTCCATTTGCAAATCTCTAAGCCCAAAAATTTAATTTATGTAAAGGGCCCAATACACACACCAAGCCCAAAACCCTTTTTCTTTTTATTTTCTCTTTTTTTTTTTCCTTTTCCCCTTTCTCTCTCCATTTTCCCGTATCTTCTTCTCCCTTTCTTTCATTTTCCTATTTTTCTACTTTCGTAGCATTTAGATCCCCAATCCTTCTTCTCTACAAATCAAACAATCAACACCAAAAATCCAATCCCTGAACAAATTCGCTTTCTTCCTTACTCACTCAACTCTTTAAATCCCGAAATCAAATCTCGGTCACTAGCGATTGCGGGATGCCGGCAAGGAGTACTCGCTATCGACGGTAACAATGGCCGAAGGACGGCGGCGATTCGAACGGCGACGGCGTAAGCTTGCGAGGGGGCGACTGAGGGGGCTGATGGACGGACAATTGATGGCGGTTCCGTCGGGCTAGAGCGGTGCCTCCCGGCAGGGACGATTCCGGTGGCTCCAGTTCGCGATAGACTCGCGAAGGGCGAACTACCGGCGTTGGCGGCTCTCTGCAATGCGGGTGCCGTTGGGCTTATTGCAGTGGAGGGCATTGGCGTGGACGGAGGTGGTTGGCCGGACTGGTGTGGCCTGTGGGTGCTTCGCGGACTCTGTTTAGAGATGACGTTCAGCGGTGGGAGCTGCTCGATCTCGGTTCTTTGTCATCGACGGGGCGCGGCTGAGATTGTGGTGGCTCGAACGGCTCTCGGGGTGATTTACGCGTCTCCCGGTGGGGTGCCGTTTGAACGCGGGGCTGTCGCCGGTGGTCTCGTCATGTCGGGTTGATAGTTGCGTGCTCCTCGAATGGCTCAGTGATTGCTTCCCAAGACGGCGGTGACTCGAGAGGTTACGATTGATGTGAACCATCGGCGGTGGCTGGTTTTCGAACATGGGAGAGTTATTTGATGGCATGTTGTCGTCGATTAAGGCAGTGAATGGCGGGGTTGCTGCTTGGCCAAGGTAAATAAGAAGATTTGGGGTGAAAATGATGGAGTTGGATGGTGGGTGGATCTGCAATAGTGAGAGGGAGAGAGTGTGAACAGAAAACAAAATTTGAATGTATCTGAGGGAGAAGGACTCCTCGTCCAGATCTTATGTAGGCAAGAGAGCTACGAGCGAAGTGGGGAGATTTCTGCAGAAAAATCGCAACTACATAATGAACTGCTTGAAGGAGACGACCGGTTCTATACGCACGTGAGGGGAAAAGGGAAAAATAGGTAGCAGATTTTTAACTTCAATCGGGCCGCTTAAGCTCATGCGTTGGTTGGGCCCATAGGAAAAATTATATCCTTGGGTTGAAGTGAAATAACTTAACAGGGCCAAATAATGTTTAACTAATTTGGGCCTGATGACTAACTCGTAAAGGGCTGAACATACCACGCCAAATGGATCGGAATTAATTTAATCGAGCTGAAATATTTGTAGATAAATTTGGCCGAAAGAAATACAACGCGATTCCAATGATATTGATTTTATTAAACGATTGGCGACGAATAATAAAATAGAATTATACAACTTATTATATTAATTAGACTACATCTAATTAAATAATAATAAGTCTAAGCAGAAAGATGTCAAACAATAATACAATATAGACAGTTAATTCAAATAATAATATTAATGCTAATAAATAATAGTCGAAAAATCCAATATTCGAACGGCTTAGATTCGAATTACGCGATTAAACCAAAATCGCCGAATGACGAACGCTTTAAAATAAAACGATTGAGTACTTCAACATAAAATTTAAACCGACACGCGACCAATACAATAAATATAACCTTATAAATAAAATTCGATAAATAGAATAATCCAAGAAATTTTATAAATCGAACGGGGCGCTACAATCAAGGAGTTGGAAGTTGAGGGTTGTTGGTAAAGTTAAACGCTTTATATGGAGGTGTTGCAATGGTACTCTACCTAAGAACCTGAATTTGAGAGCAAATGGTGTTGAAGTGGATCCTATATGCATATTTTATAGAGAGAAGGAGGAGTCTATAGAACATGTTTTATTTCACTGTACCTTTGCTCAATCTGTTAGGAAATTGGCTCACCTTAGTTGTGAAGGGCCACAAGGAACAGAGACATTTAAAGATTGGTCTTGGCAAGTTTGTCAACTGGATAGGAGTAAGACTTCTGAAGCTAGGATACAACTTTCAACATACATACTCTGGTGACTTTGGAAGTCTCGTATTCTCTGGGTTTTTTAACAGGTTTGGAGGCCAACACAAACTATTATCAGGGTTGCAGTCCAGGAGTGGGAGGCTTATCTGAGGAATAGTAGGTGCTAGGTCTCATGTCTTGAGTATTTTTCTCTTTTGCTTTGTTTTTCTAGTTCGTTAGGTGGTGGTTGTTTGATAGGGGATAAAGGTTCAGTTGAGTGTAACTGCTTTATCCCCAAGAGTGATTGTTAGTTGTTCTTCGTTTTATTTGGTTCTAGCCTTGCTCCATTTTTCGGCAGTGTGATTTGTATTGAACTTGGTTTATTGTTTTTGTTATGAGTATTTCTATCGTTTGGAAAAAAAAAAATGTTGGTGCAAGAAAAAAATAAAAAGAACCATAAATGAAACTTTTCGTACCAATTGTGGAATTGCCCAAATAAAAGTGGGACACAAATTGGCTTCAAATAAAAGGGTAAAATATGAAGGACTCCCTTGTATTATACGAAATCTGCGCGTTTTCCCCCTGTATTTTAAAAATTGCATCAAACCCCCTTGTATTGTAGTTTTGCATGCGCGAATTACCCGAAATCGTTGAAGTTGACAGAAGTGTGGCTCACGCGCCTGTGCTGCGACCATTTATTCCAATTTCACTTCAGAAGTCCGCGAAAGTACCATTGTACCCCTCAACACCTCTTTAAATAGCCAGCAACCCTCAGCCCTATTTCCTCCCTCACCTTACCTCATTTTGGCGCAAAACTCCCTCATCTGCTCCAGATTTGGCGCCAAATAGGTACAGTCCTTTTTTTTTGTTGAAATTATTTGGTATGCTTTTGTTTTTCATCTTCTCCAGATTCTGGTATGCTTATTTTTTGGTTTCATATTGCCCGCATCGTTTTTTGCAGCATTTTTTTTTCAGCAATTTTCTTCACAAATTTTTTCAGTAATTTATTTTGCACACAGACTTTGATTTTTTTGCTAACAGACTTGGATTTTGTTGCACAAATTTTTTCAGTAATTGTTTTTTCCATCAACAGCAATTTTTTTCTTTTTTTAAATGTCATTTTTATATATGTCTTTTAATATGATTGTAGGTTGAAAATGTCTTCCCAAAAATCAAGGACGACAAAGAATGAGGGTCTCGATTTAAGGTATAGGCACCCTAAATGTAAGTGCAACACATTTTCTTTAATTAGGGTTGTGGGTCCTACAAAAGAAAGTGTCGGCAAGCTATTTTGCACTTGTCCATACAGCACGTGTGGTTTTTTTAATTGGCTTAAACCTACCTCGGTGAATTGGGTGAAGCCAAATCAAATCCATGAAGATGATGTTTTTTATGAAGGTGATGATGAAGTTGAATCAACGGGAGCAAATATAGCAAACCAAAATGCTGAAGTTGCAACAATGGTGAAGGAGATGCAATCAAGGATGGAGAAAATGGAGAAAAAATTTAGCAATTGATTGATTGTTTTGCTTGTTGTAATCCTTTTGGCTGTAATTGTTCTGAAATAATTATGCATTGTAATCATTTTGACAATGTATGTCTTTGTTGTCAATGAAATGCACTCAATTCCTACATACATTATTCAACACTTGCATTCATGAACAAAAAACTATAACATGTCACAAGCAACACAATGTGAGCAAAAAATAAACAATAAACACCTTGTTTCAACCACAATATTCCAACATTCCAATATCATCAACAATATTCCAACATTCCCAACATAAACAAACACCACCACCATGCCTCAATAACAACCAAAATAACTTCAAAACACATCCAACACCAGAACACTTCAGTCACAACCAAAAACCAAACAAAACCCCTAACACCATATCACCACCAATATTAAAAATAACATCACCATGTCACCACCAACAAAAATAAAAAAATAGTCAATATTCCCAACATAAAAGACAATACCACCATGTCTTAACAAGTTTCAGTATCACCACCAACATCAAATACATACCAAATAGCTAAAAGAACACCAACATAGCCAAAAGAGCACACTTTCAGATGGAGGTTTGAGGGCCAGTCAAGCAACCTAAGTTGTGCTCTGCTGAGTGGAGGTTTGAGGGCCATTGCAGTTGACAGAATTCCCCTGTGATGAAGGCTCAGTTTGTTGCTGTAAAAACACAGGAAAAAAAAAGAACTAAAAAACTGAAAGTAAAAATTGAATAACAAAAAACTGAAAACTGAAAGTTTACCTGCTCAGGATTATTTGTACCAACTCTTTTGTTGCACCTCTTCTTATTATGATTATTTGCTCCACACACAGTGCATCTTTTGATAAGCCCCTTCCTACTGCTATTTGTTGCCATTGACCTCATGTCATTAGCATCAGCTCTTCTTTTCTTTGTTGGCCTACCCCTTTTTTTCACAGCATCAAGAGGCCGAATTGTGCCCATTTCAGATTCTTCATATTCATTCATCCCTGGAACTGGGAAGATCATATGGCTGTACATCCTCAAATACATGTCCTTCTTGAAGAAATCAGACACATAATCACCAAGAGGGAACCTATGATAAGAGATGCATGCCAATGCATGGCAACAGGGGTACCCAACCAATTGGAACATGCCACACGTACAACTCTTTGCTCTCAGTTGCACTATATGGCTGTTTACACCATGAACCACCTCATACTTGTCTTCTCCAGCCCAAGTAGGGAAACAATTCTTGCTGAACTCCCTTTGCTCTTCAATTTTTCTTACTGTGTTTGGACAAATATCCTCTGAGTATTTTTCTATTCCTGCTCTCTTCACTTGGATCCTTGCCATCAGCCTTCTTCTGATCCATTCAAACATGTCTATAATAAGCATGTTCCTGGCTTCCAAAATATAATTGTTGAAAGACTCAGAGATATTATTGACAATGACATCACAAACAGCATTAGGAGAGAAGTAACACCTTGCCCAATGTTCTTCAGGGACAGCTTTCAGCCATTCAAATGGAGTGACCTTTCCATCCTTCTTAGGAACAAGCCTTTGGATTTGGTTCATGCACCTCAGATGCTCCTTCACATTATAAGTGCTAGCTGCCTTCCAAAACCATTTTCTTAAATCTAGATCCCCCCACTTCTGCTTAAAATTGTTGTACATATGCTTCAAACAATATCTGTGTTTTGCCCCCTCAATTTCACTCACAGCTTCAAGCAAACCCTTCTGTCTATCTGAAACAAATGTCCATTTCTTCTCCCTGTGTGGATCTACATCTCTCAGTAGCCTTTCAAGAAACCACCTCCAAGAATCTGTCTTCTCAACCTCAACATATGCCATTGCAATTGGTAGCATATTATCATTGCCATCCCTACCAATTGCTGAAAGTAGTTGACCACCGTGGAGAGTCTTCAGAAAACATCCATCAAGCCCTATAATTGGCCTACAACCAGTCAAAAATGCTTGTCTCAATGCAGTTAAGCAAACATACATCCTCATGAACTTTGGAGGTGAAAAATCATTGCTCACCTTCAGTATTAGAGAACTAGCAGGATTGTGCTTGTATACTGTGGAACAGTAGTCATACAACCTCTAATACTGTTCCCCATAGTCAACCTTCAATAGAAAAAGGGCATACACCTTGGCCATGTATGCCTTGTGCAGACTGACATCAACCCCACAATGCCTCTTGATTTTATTTTTCAAACTTGCCAAACTCTCACTAGGATTGTCTCTCAGAGTATCTGCCATCCTCTTCCCAAGATATTTGTAGTCTGCCTGTGTGTTTTCTGTCCTGTAGGAACATGTGTGTGTTCCTTTCAAAGTCTTGATCTGAAAAGTTGTCAAACCTCCAATAATTGAGGCCCTCAAGGACCAGTCACACCCACTTTTGCATTGAGCTGTGAT